ATTTACTGGAGCTAATCCGGGGACTTGGACCTTGTTTACTGACGGTTCCTCAAATGTTAAAGGAGCAAGTTTGGGGATTGTTTTAATTCCACCCTCGGGAAAAATAATAAGACCTGCGGTAAAATATTACCCAATTACTAACAGTGAGGCAGAGTATGAAGTTATGATTGTAGGCTTGGAACTAGCACGGGAGCTTAGTATTGAACAAATCGTGATCAAAAGTGACTCGCAACTAGTAGTCAATCAAATGCAAGGGACTTATGTGGCAAGAGAGACACGAATGCAGCAGTACCTCAAAAATGCACGAGAATTGCTTAAGTAGTTCCAGTAATGGAAAGCTGTACAAATATCCAAGGAGGAAAATGCAGAAGCAGATGCATTGGCAAATCTCGCATCTGTCGCTGATGCAACAAATGCAGAAAATGTTGTTGTGGTACATTTATTTCATTCAACCCTCGACCAAACCAAGAGTGAGGTAAATTTCAATAATTTAACTTAGGATTGGAGAAATGAATTTGTGAACTTTTTGCAGTATGATATTTTGCCCGAGAATAAAAGAAAATCCCGATTGTTACGGTTAAAGCTGCTCAGTATTGCTTAATTTGTCGGAACTTATATCGCAAAATATTTGGTGGACCTTTAGCACGATGCCTTGGACCATCACAAAAGGAATATGTGATGGGAGAAGTACACGAGGGGCATTATGGCAATCATGTCGGGGGAGGGATTGTTGGTAAAGACACTAATAATAGTGGGATATTATTGGCCAAAAATGGAAGAGGAAGTAGAAAACTTTGTAAAAAGGTGCGATAAATGCCAGCGTTACGCTAATAATATGCATCGACTGACAGAATTNGGGGGAGGGGGGGGGGAGAAGGGAGATCATTGGCGAAGACATTAATAAAAGCGGGATACTATTGGCCAAAAATGGAAGAGGAAGCAGAAAACTTTGTAGCAACGTGCGATAAATGCCAACAATACGCTAATAATATGCATCGACCGGCGAAATTCTTGCATTCAATTATATCACCATGGCCCTTCATGAAATGGGAGATGGATATTGTATGACCATTGCCTTAAGCTAAGGAAAAGGTATGGTTTTTGTTAATTCTAACAGATTATTTCTCCAAATTGGTAGAAGCAGGTGCCTTTAAAAAGGAAGTTATGGATTTCATTTGGAGAAATATAATATGTCAGTTTAGAGTCCCAAAGGAGGTCGTTTGTGATAATGGGCCGCAATTCATAGGTACGAAAGTTACTGATTTTTTCCAAAGCTGGCAGATTAAACAGATCACTTCGGCATCTTACCACACAGTAACTAACGACAAGCTGAGTCGACGAATAAGGTTATCATCAACAACTTAAAAAAGCGATTGGAAGAGTTAAAAGGCAAATGGACAGAAGTACTACCATGTATATTATGGGCTTACAAAACAACAGCAAAAACTAGCACGGAGAAACACCATTTTCACTTGTATATAGAATGGAGGCTCTAATTCCAGTTAAGATAGGCGAACCGAGCACGAGGTATATATGTACAAATGAGGCAACAAATGAAGAAGAGTTGCGAGTAAATTTGGATTTGACGGAAGAAAGAAAAGAAGCAACATTAATTCGGATGGCGGCTCAAAAGCAAATGATTGAACGTTACTATAACAGGAAGGCAAACCTGAGGCATTTCAAGATTGGGGACTTCGTCCTCAAAAAGGTATTCCGGTCAACAAAAGCGGCAAACGCATGAAAGTTGAGTCCAAATTGGGAAGGCCCGTATAGAGTTAAAGGCATTGCTGGGAAAGGAGCGTACGAATTGGAAACCATGGACGGCAAGGTGTTACCTTCTCATTGGAATGCAGTCCATTTGAAGAAGTATTACTTCTAAAAGAGGTTAATACCCACGTTCAGGCATCATGCAAGTCCGATTTTATTTTGTTCATTTAAGTTTTACTAACTATTTTAGATGATAGGCAAAAAGCTGGCCCGTACCAAATGATGATATTAGACCTGAAAGACACGCGGATTAATGAATTATTCCTGGTCTAGGTTACAACATTTCTGATGGCAGAAAGTTTTATGCAGTCATCATCTAAACAATTACCTCCGAGTCCCGTATGTATTTCCTTTTTTAGGGAAAGGACCAAAAGTAAGGAGTTGATCCAGTGTTCGGGATTTCATACTTCAATACTCCAACACTGGGGGTACTATGCATATGGAAGGATACACAAGGAAAGGAGATGTACACCACAAAAGCATAGTTTAGCCAGAGTTAAAACCTTGAAGAAACCCTTGAAGAAAATATCAAGATTTCAAAAGAGGCGTTCAAGCTCGTAGAAAAAATGGGCAGTAAAGAGTTAAAGAAGCTACAAAATACTCTCACGAGCTTCTCGGTTAAGGTCATAAATTTAATCACGGAAAAATATACCCATATTTGTAAACATGCTACAAAGAAAGCAGTTATGAGAATGTTGTATAAGATTATTTATTTGGAAGTTCAAAAAAAAAAAAAAGAAGTTCAAAAAAAAAAAAAAAAAAGACTTCCTCAAATTACTTCATGTTTCATATCATTGCACCAATATGAAGATGAGACGTCATCTTCATCAGTGTTGTTAATATAAAAAGGCCCTCTTTTAGAAAAACTCGTACATATTAAAAGACGCGATCTACTAAAGCATTCTTAATGCAAGTACAAACTCAAAAACTTAAATAGCAGAAAGCATAATATGCATCAAAGAAATATTTATATCATTACCCCAAAGGGGGAGCGGGAGAAAATATTCCAAAAACCAAAAAGGAAAAAGAGTTTCAACAAAAACCAAAAGAAGGATAAATCTAGAGGTGGGCATATTTCGGTCCGAACTGAAGAAATCGGTTGAACCGAAAATATTTTTATTTCGGTTTCGGTTATTCGGTTTTTTTGGTCGGTTTCAGTTTAAAATTTTAAAATTTCAGTTTTTCGGTTCGATTTTCGGTTATTAATTTATTTGGTTCGGTTAACCGAAAAATCGAATTATTAGCATATAGATTCTTTAAGTTATATATAGGCTAAGCCCATAGGTAATAATATAAGCCCAATTTTGAAGTCCATCAAAAACCCAATCCAAACTTACCATTTTATTCTAACTTACCGAAATTTTGAAAGAAAATCAATAAATTTGACAGTCCAATTATTACATAGAGAGAGCCCAATATGATAATGTTCAAACCGACAATCGATTAGAAATAAACCGAACCGAAATTAGAAAATCGAACTGAACCGAACTTATTTCAGTTCGGTTTCGGTTACTACTTTTACAAAACCGAAAACTAAATAATCGAACTGAATTTCTGTAAACCGAACCGAACCGAATCGACCGAACGCCTACCCCTAGGTAAATCACTTTCACAAAAGCCAAAGGAGAAATTAAGGAGCATCATCTACGGGAGAAGAGGGGCCAGCTTGAGAAGAAGAAGGTTGAATGCCAGCTTCACCAGGAGTTAGTCCATCTCCATCACCTTTAGAACCTTCATCTTCAGGTGTTGAGAAGCTTTGACATTGCTGAGTTTGATCAATCGCTTCCTTAGCCTTTGCGATTTCAGCATTAAGGTCAAAATCCTCCTGGCTAGCTTCGGTCAGGGTCTCAAAGCGGGTGTTCAAGAAAGCTCAGCTAACATCAAAAGTTAACTTATCTTCAAGGGCCTCATAATCCTTCTCCCACTGCTCAATTTCAGCTTTCAACTCTTCTTTTTCTGCTTCTGAGGCTTCATAAGATGCCTTTAAAGGAGCAAGAGAACTCTCAAGGAATTGAATCTTGTCTGAAGAGGCACGAAGATCTTCTTGAGTCTGGGTGAGCATTTGTACAGCGTATACCTCTTTTTGGTTAAGGAGCTATTTCAAGCTTCTTATTTCTTCAGTTGCCTTGGAGTGTTGTTCAGCTAAGGAGGATTCCAACCTGTCCTTGTCTTTTTCAATTTGATTGGAGGAAGCTTTTAAAATAGCTAGGTCGGCGGTGATTATTCTCAGTTTTTGTTCTAAAGCTCCTTTTTTCTCAGCAAGAACGTCTTTCTCCAGTTGAAGGCTTTCGAATTGCTCTTTCCAATTATCAGCCTCGGTACGCAACTCGGTCACATGTTGATCTGTCCAAGAAATCCTTCTCACTCCGTACCTGTCAAATTGTTCTATAAAAAGATAGAAGAAGGGGGTTTACGAACATGAAAGGAAGGAGAGGAAAGTAAAGAGTAAAGATACACCTTGAGGGAAGAATGGATGATGTCATTCAACAGGGTCAAGGAACTGTGAGACTCGAGCTTTCCTTTCCACTGGACCAAGCAATGGTTTTAACCACACATCAGCTTGTCCAGACTTTTTCAATAGATTTCCACCATCGGAGACTTCAATTAGAACTTTCTTCATACCACGTCTACCGCTAGAAGGCTCAGCTTCTTCATGAGAAGCAATAACGGGGGAAACTACTAGGGTGACCGTAGGCGGAGAAACATGGGGATTAACACCGAGAGGAACTGGCGTCATCGGAAGAGAGGCAAGTGGCAGCTCTTCTGAGACAGTACCAAATTCTTCTTCAACCTCAAAACCTTGGGCTAAGAACCTGTCAATAGGACTTGAGGGGGGGGGGGGGTTATAAAAATTACCAGCATCTTCATTAGAGATATCCAAATGGACATTCTCTGGCTCATCAATGAGACTAAAAGGAATTGAACTTGGAGGGAGATTTCGAGAGACATGGGCTTCATCATCTGAAACCACGCGCCTTCTGACTTTTGGTTTCCTCACTAAGGAACCTTCTTCGATATCCTTTTCATCTTCAGACTCATGGGCTTCAGCATTCTTCCTCTTGAAGGAAGATACGCTTAAAATATGTTCTTGTGCAGAGCTTATAGAAAGCCTCGTAGAAGGAACAGAAGTGGGGCTCATGCCACGAATGGCAAACCATAAAAAAGGAGAAAGTATATGTATTAAAAGAAAAAAACAACCAAAGAGAAGGGAAACCATGGGAATACAAATTTACCGCGAGTTTTCATTTTCCATCCAAATTTTTGTGAAAGAAACTTCCATGATCTCTTATCCATGGGAGCAGCGATCATCATTTTTTCTCCCGAATCACGAAAGTTAGGAATTTCTTCAAAGACTTCCACGGTTGCTGAAAAATGAACATACACTAATGTGAAGAAAATAAAAACGTCAAGAAAAGTAAGGAAATAAGAGGAAAAACACTTACGTGCAAAGTTTCACTTTTCAGGGAAAGGCATGTTTTCATCACCCACTAACCCACGAGTGGGGGCGGCAATAAATCGAGCATACCAGCCACGGTCACGGTCATTCTCGGTGCTGACTAAAACCCCTTTACTTCTAGCCACAAGGGAAAAGACACCTTCACGAAAGAGTTTCGAAGAATATAAGTGGAGCAAGTGACGGAAGGTAAAAGGGGCGAAAACTAAACCCGACAAGTAGCAAAGGCAAGCAACTGCCCTCCACACGATGGGACCTATTTGACTGAGGCAAACATTTAAGTAGCGGCAGTACTCAATAGTCACGGGATCAATGGGAGGAGTAAACCCTAAAGTAAAAGGATAGGTGTAAATAAAGGAATAACCTACATGGTAAGAAGTGATTTTTTGGTTTGCACTAGGAGTCATCACTAGAAAGTCAGGTTTCCAATGGCATTCACGTCGAACCAAGAAAAGAGGGCCTGGGGTAATCAAGCTAGGGTAATAATCATTAGGGTTAAGATAAGCTATAGAAAAAACCTATTTTTTCATAGCTTCACGATCTGATACAAAAGAGAACTTCTGTGGGACAATCTCAGAAACAGTAGGTTCTCGCATGGGTTTGTTCTAATCCTTTCCTCTAGAAGAAGATCTAGGAGTTATGGGTGTTCTAACCCTAGAAGATGATGTCTTAGCAGTACTACTTTGAGGGATAGAACTACGAGTTGTCAACGAACCTAAATTTCGTAGTCTACCACCTTTCCTACTTCTGGTAGGGGTTGTAGAGGGAGGAAGTTCATCAACGATCACCACTTTACGTGGTTCTGACAACGAAGAAGGATTCGATGAACGAGAAGACATCTTTAATGGATGAAACACAAGGAAAAGAGATGAATAACTACAAGAGAAGTTAGGGAGATGAATGCAAGGAAGAAGGAAGGGACTTTCGAAATTGAGCGTGATGAAGTATTTATAGGAGAAAGCAACCGTCATCAGAGTTGCTCATTATGAACTGTCATCATGGAACCGTCACTTCATGACTGGTGCAGCCGCAGGACAACCCTAAAAAGGTGCTACAAACTGCAAAGCCAATTACAATGGGACACGTGTCTTGAGCATTAAATGGACATGACGTACGTCTCATTGATTCTGAAGACGACATTATGATAATCGGGAAAAGACGGCAAGAAATTCTCGCCATAAATACTTACCATTTCCCGAGTATTCAGTTGAGAATATTCAAAAAGTGGGGAGACTATCTGTATTGATGGGAAAAAAGGTATGACACATGGATCATCAGCAAGGTGACAAGTGGCAGATCTAGTTAAGTAAATTAAAAGAATTGAAAAGGCACGAGCGGAATACCCCCGGTGTTTTGTTAGAAAAGGTACCGGACGTGACAGTTGGAAAAGAAGAAATAGGTACGGAATGAATGAAGACCATAAAGAGGGAAGGTTCATGAAACTGTTATAAATAAGAAAGAGAATCGGCATTGATCGTGGTTATGAAGAATCCTCAATCATTAATGCCACTGTTACAATTATATGTGGTAACGGACAATCAAGGTAATTAATGTCATTAACAAGCCAGAATTAAGTATGAAAACTGCTATAATTATGTATGCTTATATAAGGACATGATCCTCTTTTGTAAAGGCATTTGGATTTTTATTAATATATACAATTAGTCTTTTACTTTATTCAAAAGGTTCAAACCGCAATTCTGGGAGAGATTAACTATCTACTTTAAGTTCTCTTTCCTTGTCTATTATTTTCATTATTCTTTTTATTCTTCAAATTACCAAGAAAGTGAGATAATTTTGATTATCAGTAACCCGATTTCTTCTTTATCTTAACTTTGACCGAAAAATCTATTTTTGGGTTAAACAATAAGAAAAAAGAAAATACATGTATAAACTCTATGTAGTGTTTGATTGGTGATATTAAATACGGATAAGAATATTTGTGTTAGCAATGGGAATATGTAAAAAAAATTAATATAAAAGCTAGTAGAGAGCATAAACGAGGTGGATAAGAGAGCCAATAAGGAGTGATATAAGAAGGCTAATAAGGAGGCAAAATTAGCGGTCACTGCGGCTAGGACTGTGGCGTTTGTATGACGAGCTTGGGGAGAGAGGCGGGGATAAGAAGTTGTACAAGCTGACCAAAGTGAAATAAAGGAAGGCCCGTGATCTGGATCAAGTGAAGTGCATAAAAGTCGAGGAGGGTAGAGTGTTGATGACTGAGGCTAAGATTAGGCGGAGATGGCAGTCATACTTCCATAAACTCTTGAATGATGGGGGATATGGATATTGTGTTGGGTGATCTGGAGCATGCAGTGAGTCATCAGGACTTTGGGCACTGTAGGCACATAAATATGGGGGAGGTCGAGGGGGCAATGCGTAGGATGAACAAGGGTAGAGCGATCGGGCCAGACCAGATCCCGGTAAAGTTCTGGAAGAGCGTGAGTAAGGCATGCTTAGAATGATTCTCTAAGTTGTTCAACGTTATTTTTAGGACGAAGCGGATGCGTGAAAGAATGGAGGTGGAGTATGATGATTCTGTTGTACAAGAATAAGGATAATATCCATAATTGCAATAACTATAGGGTACCAAGCTGCTAAGTCATACAATAAAAGTTTGGGAGAGGGTGGTGGAAGGGAGAGTGAAGAAGAGTGTGTTTATTTCCGAGAACCAGTTCAATTTTATGTCGGGTCGTTCGATTATGGAAGCCATTCATATGCTGAGGAAATTGATGGAGCAGTATAGGACAATGAAGAAGGACTTACATATGGAGTACATAGACTTAGAGAAAGCATATGACAAAGTCTCGACAATGGTTCTATGGAGGTGTTTAGAGGCTAAAGGTGTGCCTATAGCCTATATTAAAGTGATTAAAGACATGTATGCTGGAGCTAAGACACGGGTAAGAACAACGGCAGGAGACTCAGAACACTTCCCAATTGTGATGGGGTTGCATAAGGGATCAACCCTTAGCCCGTTTTTATTTTCATTAGCGATGGATGCATTGGCACGACATATTCAAGGGGAGGTGCCATGGTATATGTTATTTGCGTATGATATAGTTCTGATTGATGAGACATGAGGAGGTATTGACGACAGACTGAAGGTTTAGAGACAGACTCTTGAGTCTAAAGAGTTCAAAATGAGTAGGATCAAGATGGAGTATTTGGAGTGCAAGTTCAGCGATGTTATCCAGGAAGCGGATATAGGTGTGAGGCTTGATACACAAGTCATACCTAGGAGAGGAAGTTTCAAGTACCTTGGATCTATAATACAAAGTAACGGGGAGATTGTCACGCATAGTATCGGAGCAGGATGGATGAAGTGGATGCTTGCTTCCGGTGTCTTATGCGATAAGAATATGCCGCTGAGACTTAAAGGTAAGTTATACAAGATAGTAATTAAATATACTATGATGTATGGAGCAGAGTGTTGGCATGTCAAGAACTCTCATATCCAAAAGATGAAAGTAGCTGAGATAGGATGTTAAGGTGGATGTGTGGACGTACTAGGTTAGATAAGATTAAGAATGAAGTTATTCGGGATAGGATGGGAGTGGCCCTTGTGGAGGATAAGATGCGGGAGGCGAGATTGAGATGATTCAGGCATGTTAAGAGGAGAAGCATAAAAGCCCCAGTTAGAAGGTGTGAGAGGTTAGCCTTGGTGGGTATCAGGAGGGGTAGAGGTAGGCCTAAGAAATCTTTGGGAGAAGTGATTAGGCGGGACATGGCGCAACTAGAGCTGATTGAGGACATGGCCCTAAATAGAAGGGTGTGAAGGTAGAATATTAGGGTATAAGGCTAGTAGGTAGACGAGCGTTTATCTATGTCTTACTCAGTTCGCTAGCATTAGTGTTAGTATGATATCCTTTTATTCATAGATTATTATTATTACCTGGAGTTTATCTGCTTTCTTGGCTTTAGTCTTATTTTTGTCTTGTTGTTGTTCCTACTTGTAGCCATTAATTTTTTTTCATACATTCTTCAGCCAAGGGTCTATCGGAAACAGCCTCTCTGTCCTTCCAAAGTAGGACTAAGGTTGCGTATATCTTACCCTCCCTAAATTCCACTTGTGGGAAATCACTGGGTTTGTTGTTGTTGTTGGTTTTCTTTGAGCTACTGTGATGAACCAAAAGGACGATGCAAATAAACAAAGAAAATTAAAGTGTACATGCCCTAACAAATATGGAGCCACCACAGATTCGACTAAGCTAAACTTATTAACAACGGTATTTACAAAGTTTAACTTAAGATGCTTCTGGTGTCTAGCGTCGAAAAAAGAATGGGACTCCAACTTGGCAAGATAACCTTTGTGAACCAAAAGTATTTTAGGACAAAAGACTAACTGAAGCCTAGATTTCAGTATAAAAGAAATAGCATAGTGTACCTGCGAAAACAAGCAACGGCTTTTCCTCAATGCTGGATCGTGATTACATGGCATGTCTTTCAAAAACTTATGATCTGAAAATTCCGGTAGGAAAACGAAAAAGCAATTAACATATGATTCCCATCAACAAGTTGTACTAAATTATGTGATGGAAGAAAAATTAAATATGACACAAAAGTATCGAAAACCGAAGTCAGTACAAAGAAAAAGTGAGAATATAATTAAGCCAAAAAGGAAATTCATACTATGACACAATAAGATTTAGTTCTCTTTCTGTGACTCGCTAAAGAACCAAACAGATAAGCGGTGAATGAATCAATGCCATTAAACGCAAGAACAAGCACTGAGATTTCATAAAATAAAATTAAAAAAAAAACCTTTAGAAAAAGCATCGAAAATATTTATCGGACAATCCGATTCAAGAAGAGGAGATGAATGAACTATTGATAGAGAGAGAGAGAGAGAGAGAGATTAATGTTGCATTTAATGCAAAAAGGGAGATAACATAATTGAATACGTACCTGTAACACAAGTTCAATAGAGATGGAAAGAGATGAGAGAAGGGGAATGAAATAGAGCGAAGAGCAAGAAAAATATCTGCGTGGAGAATAGAGGACATTATATAGGGAAAGTACCCCCCCCCCCCCCCCC